ACTGCGAAAACCCCTTAATAAACTGTCGGAAATACGATGCTAATCCAATAAATTGTCTAAGTGATGTTACAGATTGTGGAGGCATAAGGGCTGTTAACGCTACAATTTTCTGAGGGTTTGGACGAATTTCTCCAGAACTGACACTAAAGCCTAGATATTGCACCGATGTTTTCAGGAAGGAACACTTTGTAATATTAAACGAAAATCCAGCCTCTGTCAGAACATTTAAAACAATTTCCAATCTTTCAAAAGCTTCCTCTAATGTTATGGCAGTTATCATAATGTCATCCATATAGACGATAACATAAGAATTCGCTAAATCCACTAGCGCCTGGATTACTAATCGTTGAAAAACAGAAGGCGCATTTCTAAGCCCGAATGGCATAGACACAAATTCATACTGACCATCTGGCGTCACAAACGCTGTGTACTCTATCGAATCAGCATCCATAGGAATTTGGTAGTATCCACTGGCCATATCTAGACACGTAAAATATTTAACTCCTCGAAGTCTATTTATTTGATCCTGTATAAGTGGCAGCGGGTATTTATCAGCCACTGTGTTTGAATTAAGCTCTCTATAGTCAACGCAGAGTCTGTCCGAACCATTTTTCTTTTTAACTAACAGTATAGGGCTTGCATAAGGGGAACAGCTTGGCCTTATTATATTACACCTCAACAGCTCCTCAATTTTCCCTCGAACTAAATCTCGCTCGCATGGACTTAATCGGTATGGCCTTCTCTGAACAGTTTTACTTGAATCGATCAATCTAATTTTCATTTCACCTACTTTAACTTTAGTGCATGGAATTCCTTTGATAAAGCATTTTGAGTACTTTGCCAATAATGAATTTAGTTTTATTTTATTTTCTCCGTCAAGTTCTGTATCAATATCAGTTGGCTCACTACCAGTACACAAATTAATTATTTTGGCTCTTGAAATCGAAGATTTGTCTAATGAAATGGCAATATCAAAACCCTGTTTTAGTATTTCACGTCCAATGACGATATCGTTCTGCATGTGATCATCGCCTACTACATAAAACAAAATTTCGATATAATTATTATCAATTTTTACGTTACTTAGAACTTGTACTGTACTACATATTCCATTACTCCCAATGCCTCTTAACATAACAATATTATTCAATCTTTTACCAGAAAACTTTGTACTTAGCTTTTCTTTCATCAGAGAGCATTCCGATCCGGAATCAAAAGTGACTTCAAAAATGTGGCCTCTATGGTTCATGCTCCCTTTAGGTACTGCAACGCTGCACTGTTCCACTCGCTTTTCCCGGTTGAATGTCTTGTTCTTCTCAGCTTCCTTCTTTGTACACTGGGTGGATATGTGACCCCAGTCTCCGCATTTGTAGCAAGTAACATTTGCTTTGTCACGTCGATGTTCATCGTGTCTGCCATGTCGATCTTTGTCATTCGCTTGGTGGTGTTGTTGCTTCTTCAGTTTGCATTCAAACATCTTGTGGCCTAATTTTCCACAAAAATGGCACTCTATCGAGGGTTGCTTTTGCCTTTTTGGGTAGCCTTCAGATTGCTGCTCAACAAATCCAATTTTTCTTTTATTGAATGTGAACGCTTTTAATTCTGACTGTAGATCGCCTCGGGTTCGAACATTTGATGTGAAACTCAAACGCTGCAAGCGATTATCGAAATTTGCCAGCACAGCAAGAGTCACGGATACGGCAATTTCTTCTTTTTCCATTTCGCGCCATTTCGTCATTAACTCGGTTACCATGCGGCTGGCGTGCACTGCCAGACACTCGCCATCAGTCGGTCGCTTTGTTAAAATATTTAGAAACATAGCGGCTGGTGTTTCTATTGTATCAAAACGTTGTATGAACAACTCCTTGAACTCGAGCCAGGTTATATCAGCATAGCACACTTGAGATAGCCATTGCGAAGCGCTACCTTCCAATGCTGAGCTTAAAGCCACGACCAACGCACTGCCTTTTAAGGTATTTTCTTTTAAAATTATTTCCACAGTTGAACACCAGGATGAGGCTATGGCGCATGCTTTGTCTGGATTGAATTTTGGTAGTTGCACCGATTTCCTTTGTTCTGCATCAGGATCTATTGTTTTAATTGCTCGCACAAGTTCGATTAAATTTTGATTTTGTAGTTCCATGATGGCTCGCCATGGTCCATCTAATGTATTAGGTTGAGGACCCGATCCCACTACTGATGTCGATTCGTGGTTGCGTTCCATTTTCGAGCGGAGTGAGTTTCGACTTTCCTGGCTGACGATCGCTGAAGACTGCCCGATCGTTCTGCCTAAGAACTGCCTTCGAACCACACACGGCGACAGCGACGCGACGCTGCCGCCTGTGAAAAAGGGAACTAACAGCGCAGCTGTGTCGCGCCACAACGAACTAAGAGGACCAATCATAGAATAGAACCAAGAATGCCAAAGTTCCGCGTAAGACAAACTTTCCAGGAACTAGCATTCTGCATACGCTGGTATACGAATGGTATATCCATTCGCCGACATATACATATATATATATATATATATATATAAGCTCAAATTTGTTTGGATTAACGTGACTTTTTGTTAATTTAGTCATTTTTGTTACTGATCCCTGCTCTAATTCGTATACCTCTAGTATATTCCGTCAGGGATTTCAAACTTAGCTTTTAGTAAGTTATATTTTATAGATTTGAAGAGATGCGGAATGTTCTACCTACCCTGCAAGGGTATAAAAAAATATTGTAAGATTATATTTTTTTATACCCTTGCAGGGTATTATAATTTCAGTCAGAAGTTTGCAACGCACTGAAGGAGGCACCTCCGACCATATAAAGTATATATATTCTTGATCAGGATCAACAGCCGAGTCGATCTGGCCATGTCCGTCTGTCCGTCTGTCCGTTTCTACGCGAACTAGTCTCTCACTTTTGAAGCTATCTGAATGAAACTTTGTAGTTAGTCTTCTATATACTCTCACTTGTATATATGTCGAATCGGACGACTATATCATATAGCTGCCATAGGAATGATCGGAAAATTTTTACAAACAAAATTCTAACATTTTCAGTTTCAACAGAGTTTAATCAAATTTGGAATATTGCCATTTCATTTTATTCAACAAATTTATGTAAAATTTCATGAAAATCGGGCTACTATATCATATAGCTCACATAGGAACGATGGAGAAATTTCAGTTTTCAACAGATTTTCATCAAATTTAAAATATAGCCGTTTCATATTACTTTAAAATTTCCAAAGTTAAAGTTTCCAGCAGATTTTCATGAAATTAGAGATGATTAGATGAGATATAGCCATTCTATATTTGTCTTAAACTTTGTGACAACTTTAATGAAAATCGGGCGATTATACCATACAGGTGCCATACAAATCGTTAGATGTAGAGGAAAAAATTAAATCTGTGAATGTAAAAGTGTTAATATAATATGTATAGGTGAATGAAATGAAAGCAGGTGTAACTTCTTTGTTTTTTAACACAAATATTTATAGAATTTATATTGTATGGATTCCTAGTTATCGACGTTATATCTGCAAGCGTATATAAACTTTTGGCGTGCCTAAGTTAGATTCTTTTCTTGTTTATTATTGAAGCTAAAGGAACGAGGAACATTTTCTTTTGTTATCTCCTTGATCATACACTACGCCTCTTACTTTGAGCACAGTATTTTCTGCTATGTTCATGTTTTTATAAATAAGGCTTTTAAGGCATTCTACTTTTATGTTTGATTCTGGCACAAAAATGTATATAATAAAAATGAACTCTGTTTTTCGTTGTCGCCACATAACATGATTTGGCTGATTTTTAGTTTTCTAATATTCTGTGCAAGGTTCTTACGGAAACAAATGTTAAGAAAATCTCTCAGAAAGATTGAAAAATATACATTTGATTTTGCATATTTTAAAAAATGCGCGTAACGAATTTCAACGTCATCTGTAATCGGTAATTTGTGATACCATATCGATAACAAAAAAATCTGTGGTAATCTGTGACAACACATCCACCGCGGCTTGACCGATTTGGGTGAAAATTGGTAGGGCGGTAGCTTAGAGCTAGAGGTGGAGAACTATCGATAGTGAGCGATTATTTTTCTCAAACCATCGATAGTGTCGATAGTTCTATCGGTAGTGTGATGCTTTTTAATTGTTAAATGTAAAAAAGCTATAAAATGAAATTTTAACAAAACTTTATTATATTTTTAACTCTTTAAAAATAAAAAATTCATTTAATTTGTTGCTTCATTATATTTTTAACTCTTAGGTTAACTGCGCTTAGGACCTACGTTAATAACTAGACTTTTTTGAATAGGGATTATATAAAAAGTACATCGTCGAACTGCGCACTCAAGCGGAAAAGAAGTACAAAACTAATTCTTTTTCAAAAAGAGCATTAGGAGATTTTTACTCTCAGCTATACTTTTGCTTTTCACTATATTTTTGCGTTCCACTTTCAACTTTATTTTTTCTTTGTGATGTGATAAGCCGCGTGCAAAACTATCGATAGTACAGGGCTGCCATCGATGGCGGTGCGATAGCGCGAAACCATCGATAGTGTCGATAGTGCCATCGATAGTTCTCCACCTCTAGTGAGGACACGAAGATCATTGGCATCAACGGAGAACTACAGTGATGATGAACATTTGGATATTGAACCAATGACGACTATATGCCGATATTGCAATGCGTTAAAGTTGAAAAGGGAAACGGAGGGATTGTGCTGCGCAAGTGAAAAAGTTAAAGTGGCTTCATTGCTTTTCAAATACAAAACAAAAACAATTTTTTTATCACCAAACGAAATGTTACATAAAACGAAGCCATCTGCTGGCAAAACAAAGTTCGCCAGGTTTAGTTCAATATAAGTTTAAATTTTTTTCAAATACCCCGAATAAAAATACTTTTCGTTTTAAATTCGAATTTTATTTTTGCAGCTTCTTTATTCTCCTTTGTTTATCATCAGACAATTATCTAAATCAAAATATGTTTTTTTTTTCATTTTAAGGGTTTTATGGCACTGATGATAAATTTCAGCAGGTGACTGTTAGCGGTGTCTTTTTAGTGGAGGTGAGCTTACAGCATTAAAATCTGTTTCATCACTATCACATATGTAATCTTTTACTAGATTGCGATCTGGGATTGTTTATTGCCTCAGATATTTTATCCCAATATCATCTGTTCGCCACAAAATCCTCACTAAAATTGAATTTTTCTGCCCATTTCATTAAAATATTTTGGTCTTTTTCTGGAAATTTAAACAATTTAAGGGCAGTGGGGCAGGCAGCACTTGTTTATACTGCTCGTGCTTTTTTTATCTGCCATTGCCATAGAGGCTTTTAAATGGCCAACAACAATTTAACAATTAAAGAACAAAATGCTCAAAATCAATCCTGTTTCAATAGCGAGCAGCAGCAACAGCACGCAAAATGGACGCACAAAGCATCGCCAAAGTTGTAATTTGTTATTTATACCACTTATTTGCACAATTTCTACACTCACTTATTATAGTTTATGTCGCAGATCCAACGGGTTAAATTTTATTTGATAGGAAAGCGTTTGAGTAATTAATAATCTTATTAATCGGCACTCTATGCTGTTGTAGGCTTATAGCGAACGCAAGAAGAGAAACCAAAAGGGGAAAACAAATAATTGGCGCGATTTTTTTAGCCCGCTTTTTCACCCGAGCGCGCAAAACAAAACAAATTTGAATTTCACAAAATCATTTAACTAAATTTTATTTTCATATGAAATACTAAAATTGGGTTATTTACATAATATGTACATACAGAATATATAAATATGTATGTTTATTAAATATTTGAATTATTAAATACATATATAAATTAATATTATTATAACAAAAAAAAAGATCATTTAAATTCATAATTATATATGTACTTATAATTTTTTAAAATTTTTTTATTTAACACAAATTATAAAAATAAAATAAAATAAATTTAAAAACATGCAATAAATTCAATCGCGAAATCGGTGTTTTGAGGCACTCCATGTTGCTCTATGCGTTTGAGGGAGCTGTTGGCTCTAGAACCAGCACGAAAACATAGCTGTATGCGTGAGAGAGCTGCTGGCTCTTGAACGAAATGTGAGAGCCTGAAGCTAGTTTAGTACTGATCTTCCACTCTGTATAGTCTTTGGTAGGCCTTAGTGCGTGAAATGTAGGTTTAAATATCAACTAAAAATTAATTATTCAAGTTGTCGGAAGCATAAATATAGGGTGCGGCACGAAAACTTGCTGATTTGTGTTTGGTGCCAATCGGCGGGGAGTGGTCGGGTAAGGGTGGGGAGTGTCTCATGTTTTAGGGGACTTCCTGAAGTTTCGTCTACTCCGCAGTCAGTGGACATCATGCATTGGACGAAAGAGCAGCGCGCATTTGCCTGCGAGGCTTACTTTTTCAACGGTCGTTCCGTAATTGCCACTCAACTCAACATTCATCCTGCAGATCGCGTTCCTGACCGTCAGTCGATTGTTTCGTGGGTGAAAACATTCAGGGAGAGCGGGAATGTGACAAAACCCCATCCAGCTCATCGGAGAATAACATTCGGCAAGCAATCGCAAAGATACCCGTCGATATGCTTGAGAGAGTTCAGCTGAGCTTCGAAAATCGGATATCTCAGTGCATTGAAAACGGCGGCCATCACTTGTCCGATGTAATCTTCAAAACTGTGTAATAAAAACTTCAGAAGGTGTGTTACAAGAATAAAAAAAATTTGGAATGGTATGTCAACTACTTCTAAAATCAGCTAGTTTTCGTGCCGCACCCTGTATAATGAAGCAACCACCTAAATTCCAAATGGAGCATAGTGACCTGCAAGCCGACTACAAAGTACTTGCAATTAAGGAAATCGGCAGGGATTTTAAAGCTTCAATGTTTCAGTTGGAAGCATGTTTCGCCAGAACGTATGTGTGTGATGCAGCGTTCTCACACATAAAAATTATACAAATTTGTATAAAACTAGATAAACTGATATAAACACGACGGCTTTATTAAAAATTACACTAAGTGAAGATAAAGTTGACTTCGAGCAATTAGTAAAAAAATATTCATAAAAAATTCAAAAAATGTTGTCAGTGTATACTTTCCTAACATTTCAGCCTCATAATTCTGACGAGCAGCGAGCTGGTTCTTGTTGATAAAATTTGGTGTCTGCCCCAATCAGGTATTTTCCGTGCCCATGTATGCTTAAAACAAGTCATGAAGTTCAACAGTTTTAAAGTGGCAAAACAATAAGGGTATATAGGATCTTGGTACGCGGAAATTCAGCTGACTCAACAAGTTAGCACTTTCCTTGTCTTCATGGATGAGCTTATAAATAAAAGTTATGCCTAGCATAGTTTCACTTTTAGCTAAGGAGGAGTCTATTAGAATAGGAAGACAATCTTTGATTTGCATACCAATTTAAACCTGCTCTACACTGTAAAAAGTTCTTTTGAACCAATTCGATGCGTTTAATATGGACACCCTACTAAGGGCTACAAACTCAGGGCCCATATTCTAAGATAGGACGGCAAAGAAAATTCCGACGTTTCGGTAAAAATGCTGAATTAGTTATACCTATGTAGCTCAGAACAAGAATATTAGAAGTATTATTGTAGATACAAACAATTTGAAATACCTACAGGAAGAATACGTATGGAAAGCCAATGCCGATCAACAGAAATAAATAGACTCCGCTAAGCACTATTTTTTTAGATTAACTGTTCCTCGCTACCTTACTTTAAAGTAGCCACAGGGAACACAAAAATTAGAAAATTTTTAATGGATCCAGGATCGTAGCAAAACTACATTCAAAATCAATTACTACCAGAACCCAAATAAAACGATAAGGTTTTCTGCGTTAATTTAGTTGGAGGTAAACGTAAAATAATACACCACGTAATAATTAAACTTTCTTACCTTTGAGGGACAGCAGAGAAAGTGTTTTACTACATACATTATAAACCTTCCGTCCGCTTGTCCCATTGTGCGGGAGAGCGGTGTTCAGCTAGTCGCTCCCTCGTTGCTGTACAGTGAATACGAGGGAGAACGGAGGTGAAAGGAAGAGCAGTCTATAATTGCGAACGCCGCTGAACACACGCCGCCTATAGACTTAGTTAAATTATAAAGCTTTAATATATTCTAACAGTGTTCGGTCTTGCCTGGGAACCCCTCTTACAATGACCTCTTGTTAGTTATACAAGGGGACACAACTATTGATGGTAGCCCATAAGGGGAAACTGCAAGTGCAAAACTTTTAAATTCGAAAATTTCGTGTGTAAATAGATTCCGTTAGATCGCGGCGGTGTTACGTTTGCAAGTGGGCTTGGCGAATTGCCTGAAAAGAGGACTGCGATACACAGGCACAGCAACGGCGGAATTTTCGAGACGCTTTTCTTCTGTGCTTATTCTCAGACTCTCGAAACACGGGAAAGGAAACGACAATACATTGGCGGCGCAGCTGCAGGTCACGGAATTTCGAAAACGCTTGTGCGCAAACGGAGTAATCATTATATGATTATTTGGATGGGTGAGTTGCGCTAAGTTTGATTAACGTTCGGCAGCATGAAATCTGATTCGGAGGCTCCGACCTTGGAGCAGCTAACAACCTTGCACTTTTAAAAAAGGATTACAGAAGGCGTGAGGGAATCAACCCAATTGCGCTGTCATCGAGTGCTTTTGGACACCGAGGCATGGTTGAAGCGCTTCTGTGAGGTAAAGTTAGTTCCAGACCAGCCCACGTTAACGGAGGAGGACTCAATTGGCGGAAATATCTCTAACTTAGATGTCTTCCCATGTATGTCATACGAACAGCATCGTGCAAGTGTGATAACATGTTTGGAACTATTGAATCCTGGCATTTTTTTCGATTTTGTTGACCTAGCAATATATCTGACCCCTTGCTCTGTATGAACAACTATTGCTATTGATCTTTTCTGATAGTCTTCTATGTTTTTTCACTTTGTAGGACATGCATCTGCTTGATCTGTGCTTCAGAAGCCCCAGAGTTAACAATGTATGAAAGTATACGAATAAGTATTGTTGGATCATCTTCTGACATATTTGGAGCCAATATGGAGGTAGATCTGGCTTTTATGCAAAATAATTAACAGTATTCACAAGAGTAGACAAACACAGCAAGCCATTAATGATCACCAAATAATTGTTTTGGATTGTCTAAAGTGCTCCCGTAACATAAACTGAATTAAGAACCTTTGGGTTATATTGCCCTGGCGATTTGACGCTAAAAACAAGAAGTTTGAGAGTGTAGAGAGACTCAAATGTAAAATTTTGCCTTAATTGTCTTCTTCTGTGTAAAAGTCAATGTCATTTGGGGAGTCTTTTCGAGGCCGAACCGCGTTTTTGGATCACCAATTTCACTGCAGTGAACTGTGTGCTTAAACCTAAAAGGAGTGAAAATGTTTCTTTGACAGGGTACAGGTACAGGGTACATTTTCCAATACCATAACGCCCACAAGCGCTGTAATATATACATATATATACTTGTACATGTACTTCTAACACGAAAATGTATTTATTTTATATAAGGGACCTGTGACAATTCTCACTAACAGTCTGCAATCTTCACGAGGTTGATGCAGAACATAGTTTATTAGTTTACTATTTCGCTTCTTGTCCATGATTTGATATTTTGCATGCTGCAAAGTTTCTCCTCCTCTTGCTTGTTACTCGTCCGTCGCCCACCTTTCTTGCTCGCTTTGGAGCGTTCTTAGGGAAACGAGAACGATTTTTTTCTGCCACTCTTCAGTCCGACTTCTTCCTGTGCAAGTTCGTCCGCGGCCTCGTTGTCATCGATGCCCTGTTGCCTGGTTACTGATAGACAATTGATGTTGATGCTGATAAAGAATATATGTATATTCCTTATAGGGTCGAAATTGTCTCCACTGCGTTGGAAACTTATGCAACGATATAAATATATTAAGAATACATGTTTATGAATATTCCTCTAACTGGCCTAGTTCTATCTATTATTTTTTATCAAATATTTTGCTTTCTTTTTCCAGAACATAAAGGAAACATGGAAACTGACAAGTTAGTATTAGTTACTTCGCTATTTCTATTTAGTTTTGAAACTAATCATACGGTTTTTATTCAGGTTGCAAAATAATATTTCTGTTCCCGGATTATCGTCATACTTGACAAATTATTCTGATTTCAATGTAAGTATAAAATTTATATATAAAATCGTTTTAATCCAGAAATTAAAAAAAAAAAATCGTATTACCGTATATATAGTGAAGTGTTCCTGTTTTGTGAGTCGAACTAATTTCCCGTCAGTTGACTAAGGACAACGCTAAGTTGGATTAATAAAACGAATATTCCGCTTCACGTCTTTATTCAAATGATCTCAGCTTAAGGCTAAATTATTGTGACAAAAATCTTACTTCTACTGCCCTTTGTTTACAAAAGTTGGGGAGCGAGATCGCCCGCTTGGGATATTAATTGAAGAATTATTTATGTTATTGAGAAGCAGCATTGCCTGCTCCGGATGTGGATTGTTTACATTGGTTCAGCGTGGGATCGCCTACGCTGCAGATTCATATTTCTTTTAACATAGCAAAATTTGTGAATATGTCACTATATACCTATCAGAATTCTCATATTTTTAAATATATTCAGCATTTATTGCTATGAGTGACTTTAACCAAAGACTATACAATTTACAAGATGCCTCACGACCATACATTCGTTTTGCAATATGGGGCTAATTTTTTGTTCAAACGACAATGGCGCTCTCCCTGCTCTCACAAAGTTGAGAGCATAAAGATCTAAAAATAGAATGGGTTTCCATGTATGAGTAAACACAGATATCTGCAGTACCGCGTGTCATCAATAGCCACTGTCATCAACCCGTCATCAACGCGCCGACTGCGACTTCTATAGAGTCGACGCTCTGCCGGCTGCGACTTCTATAAAGTCGACGCTCTGCCGACTGCGACTTGTACGGAGCCTACGCTCTTATGTTGCCATGGTGATTGTCTCTCTCACTGCCTCACTCACTCTTCAAACGAGGATCCGTTTTTCCGGATCGTTGTTCGTTTTGTTGTTGGAGGCACGGTCCTATTTTTTCCTTTCCTTTTTTCGTGTTTTCACTTGCAATTAAACAGTAAGCTAAGTAAGAAGTGTGCGCAGGCCAAATTTGAAAAAAAAAATTATACATATGTATGTATATACATATTCTGTTCAGTTTCCAATAATTGAAATTATATATCAGGTGAGTTTTTATGTAAAGATTTAAAACAAGTTTACTTTCGTATCAATTCTGTCTTCTATTTTGTGTACACCTTCCCCTCCTCCCACTTCGTGTCTGCATGCAGCTATTGTGATACATCGATGGTGCGAATTGTAAGAAAAGGCTTCGAGACCATAAGGAGTTTATTTATTTTATTTGTACACTGTATACTTAATTACAAATTAAGCTACAGGATGAGTGTCAGCCATAGCTGCTGAGGCTTTCGGCTGCTTACAATATCTAATTATTCACAATCTTAATATATATATATTTTTTTTTTTTTTTAATTGCAATTTACTAAATATATAATAGATAAAGTAGTATATATATGTACATTTATAATTTATGAAGAAGATTGGCCTTTTTAAGGAAAGAAAGAACTGTTGTAATACTGTCAGGTGTTGGGTTGCTGAGGAGTGGGAGGAAGTTGGTGGTTGGGACTCGGAGGTTGTGGAAGGCTGGGCATTCGTTCAGTGTGTGCTCAATTGTAGCGTCTGTGCTATTGCAAAATTGGCATTGGTTTGATGGTGGTTGTACAAACTTGTTTGCATGCGTTAATTTAGTGTGTCCAAGGCGTAGTCTTGTGAGTTTTATTTGCTCGATTCGTGGGATTTTAGTAAATGCTGCGTTTTTGGTGTAGTCGCCAATATTGAGACCATCTTTGTTTATGTTTTGATACCAGTTGGAGGTAAGGGGAAGTAGTTGGGATGTCCTTTTTGTTGATGCTTTAAGTAATCTGTTTATGTCTGGTCGATGTGTGTTTGGAGAGGTGAGAAGTGGTGAGATCGTGGCTGCTTTCGCTACCTCATCGGCGAACTCGTTTCCTGGGATACCTAAATGGCTTGGTACCCATAGGATTTTTATTTTTGGATAGTGGTTGATGATTAATCCTCGTATTTTGGAGGTCAGGTGGTCCGTATTGTCAATGTTTTTTATGGCTTCAATAGTTGCAAGTGAGTCTGTGCAGATACATATTTTCCCTCTAGTTTCCAGGCCTATTTCCATAGCTTTAAGAATGGCTGTTGCTTCGGCTGCGTAGACTGAAGAGTAGTCCGGGAGAACTCCCATACTTCTTACTGAGGATTCAGTAGTTACCGCATATCCAATTATCTCATTAGACTTCGAGCCATCTGTGTATAAGAAGTAGCAGTTGTTAAGGCTGTGTTTAATTTCCTGAAAATCTTTTAGGAAAAGTTCCTTAGGAGTTATAGCCTTTGGGTATTTGCTCAGTTGCGTGTCTATTGCTTCTACTTTTAGATGCCATGGAGGTTTGGATTTGGGTAGTTTTTTGAGGAGACAAATTGACAGGCCTAAGCTTCTGCAGATGTTTATGCTTTCTTGGATTACCGAATTTTTATATTTTGAGTTGCTTTTCTTTGTTATTTTTTTAATTATAGGGCCAAGTGGGGTATCCTTTGAATGGCATAGTGTGTGAAACAGCTTGGCTTTTGAGGCTATAATCCTGTCTTCTAGCGGTAGGACGTTTGCCTCCACGTACAGGTTGTAAGTCGGTGTTGTGGGAAATGCTCCTAGAGCGGAACGTAATGCTGAGTTTATAGTTGTTTTGATCGGTCTCAATGCCGATTTTGGGGCTTTGCCGTATATGGGTAGAGCATATTCTATTTTTGCTATGCATAGACTTTTGACAATTTGGACGAGAGTAAACGGGTGACAGCTGAACTTATAATTTGACAGACACTTGATAACGTTTAACGACTTGGACAATGAGTTTTGTAGTCTTGCTATATGAGAGCTCCAGTTATACTTGGAGTTTATGGATACTCCCAATATTTTTATCTCTTTAGATGTTTCGAACTCGTATGAGCTGGTCTCTGTTTTAGATTGGCAGTTCCGTTTCCTACATATATGTACATGTTTACATTTGTTTACGGATAATGATGCTCCAGACCGTGCACACCAATTTCTAATCTCTGTAAACAAGGCATCTAGGTTGTGCCTTACGTTTTTACTTCTCTTTTGGTCTATAATTATGGGGTATGTATGCTCGTACTTTTACTCTCTCATATCCAATGTTTACGTTTTCTGGGAGATTAAGCAGCGAGTATGTAAGGATTATAAGACCAGTTTCGGTCGTATTACCCATGGAGAATTTTGTAATTTTCTTTACTTCTGTGACCTTTTGTGCTTTTAGGTTCTCCAGAATTTCCGCTTCATCAATACCTCTCAGCTCATTGCAGTATATGACACCTTTGCACGCATTTAGAGATCTGTGTTCGGTGACTTTGATAGGAATGTTGCTAGGCATTGTGGTAAGTTTGAGGAGTTTGTTAGTTTGTGTTTGGTTTATTGTTTTGATCAAGAGATTTCCATCTCTGGTTCTTTTACATTCTGCGATTTCTCCACCAACAGTAGAGTCAATTGTTGTTTTTATTGTAAACGGCGATATTCCGCTTAGCGATCCATCGTCAGTTCTTAAAATAACAAGGTATTTACCCTCTAGGAGGGGGGTCTCTTCCAGGGGGGTCAAGCATTGATTTGCTTGTTCGATGATCGATCGGCTCGAACTTGTTGATTTCCGAGCTGATAAGCGTTCTATTAATAGACACTGGTAAGTTCACTTCGTGTTATTCGGTTATATTACTTGGGAGAACTCAAGAAAGGCACAACCGTACGTATTGACTGCCGAAATTGAACTGACCATAAGGAGTTATACTCAGCACTCTTAGGTAATTATGTATTTTTTTATAGATTTTGATTTCGATTTATTTTTCATATTTTCCTTTTTCAGATGCAATAAATCAAGTTGATGCAACGGAGCCAGCTGCCAAACTGTTGACTAAAAGCCTTCGTTGCGCAAAAAATTTGGAGGCACAACACAAAAAAAGGAAAAGGGATGATGGCGTTTTAGAATGCGGTCCGAGCGTTTTCCAGTACCTCAATACTTAATTTTTCATGTTTATTATTATTATTTTATTATTATTATTTTTAATTTATTTTGTATTATTATTATAGGAACTATTTTTAATTTAATTATTTTTATTATTTAATGTATAATTTTAATTTTATTATGTTACTTTTTAATAGAAACATCGATTTTTGATCGATGTGTCATCAACAATACATCGATGAATTGATGATGAATCATCGATTTATTGTTGATGAATTGTTGATGACGTTGTTGATGAAACATCGATGAATCATCGATTTATTGTTGATGAATTTTTATTGATGACAGCCTAGGACGTGCCCATGTTAAATTCATCAACAGTTTGTATAGACTGTCATCGATGAATCATCAACAGCACCCCCTTGACTGTTGATGAAACGTTGATGAATTACTGATGACAGGTACTGCAGGGTATAAAGTCTAGAGCCAGCACGAGAGAGCGCTATAGAGCCAGCCGCTCTCTCGCTGGCTTTTGAATGAAAAATGTGAGAGAGCCTGGAGCCAGTTCAAAAGCCAGCACGAAAAAAGCGTGTGCAAAAAAATCGAATGGCGTTACGAATCTTCCACTCTATACACCCTTTGCTTCAACCTTCCTTCCATATCTTAGATGTTCTCACCTAATTAACATTTTTGTTCCCACTGCACCCCCATGACTTAACTCATGGTCTTGCTAACCTCTCTTTGCGGTACTGGAATCGCGTAAGAATTTTCCAATCTCCAGGAACATAATAAAGCTCTCCCTCGATTTTTGGGAATTCGCCGCCATCGTCGCTTAAGCTATCCTAAGCAAGATCGTGGAAATAGAGAATATTTCAAGTTTTCTGCCGAAATATTTTTTATTTAGTTTACCAAAAAAGAGAGAGGTCTTACGATGTCGCCCCGCCATGTATGACTTGTATCAAACACATGCATTCCCTATCGTCTTCGTTTTTCGCTTGCAATTATTATTTCTTACCCCCAAGTTTTCGGTCGAAATATTTTTGATAAAACTAATAAAATTCATTTTTATTAACCTTTTA